GTCCCATGAGCCCAACGCGGCCACCAGAGCAGGATTGGAAAGGCCATAGGGATGCCTGCCAGGTTCAGAAGGCAGAGAAAGACTGGAGGGCGCATGAGAAGTCACCGTGCCACATGGACTTGATGCAGCAGCTGGAAAGGGACTGGAGGAGCCCTGCTAGGCATGCGGATGCCTGGCCACGGCCGGATGACAGCTGGAGGAGGCCTGAAAGCCCAGCACAGAAACTGGAGGATGATTGGAAGGGGGCTGAGCACAGCCATGACTCAAACAACCCAGAGAAACCATTGGAAAGCGATTGGGAGAACAAGAAATTCCTCGTATATCACGTGAGTATAGAATCACTGCAGCTACTGTTCGCTAACCATGTCCCTCAATAGGAACACCTGGAGCTCTGGAACACCTCCAGGGATGCTGACTGCACCACCTCATATTCAACCTGAACCTCCCCTGGGGCAGCTTGAGGCCATTCGCTTTCACCCCATCGCTGTTAGCTGGGGGAACAGGCCAACCTCCAGCTCACCACAACCTCCCTTCAGGTCACTGTAGTGAGCAGTAAGGTTTCCCCTGAGCTTCTCTTCTCCAAACTGAACAACCCCAGTTCCCTCAGCTGCTCCCCATCAGACTTGTGCTCCAGAGCCCTCACAGCTCCGGTGCTCTTCTCTGGACACACTCCAGGGCCTCCATGTCTTTCTAGTAGTAAAGGGAGTAGGTTGGGAGGGGTGAAAATGGAAATGGCAGGGTCCTGTCTGCTAGGTGTGGAACCAGCACACCCCTTTTCCTGAGGTCTGAGAAGCAGCGTTTCTGCTCCAGCACTGGGAGACACAGGAGGAGATGGACACAGAGGCTCAGGCTGAGCTCCCCCTTTCTCTCCCCGCAGTCGCAGCTAGATGGGAGCTCCAGAGCACCGCAGAGCTCCTCGGGAAGCCGGCTTCCACACGGGAGCACCAGCGAGAAACGCACTAAGGTAGAGCCTGGGGCTCCCCGCCCGCCCCGTCGGCTCCATTGGCTGCGGGAAGGGGGCGGCCGGGCCGGAGGCCACCCGCTGCCATTGGGCCGGGCCGGGCCCTCCCAGGAAGTTTGGGGTGGGAAGGGGAGGAAAGAAAAGAAAAAAAGAGGAAAAGTTTGAAGGGGAAAAAAAAAAAAAAAAAAAAGCCCTCGGAAAAGCTCGGGGCGGGCGGCGGAGCGAGCGGGCATGGTGGGGCTGCGGGAGCCGCCCGGCCGCTGAAGCCGCCCCGCCGCCCTGGCTGCCCGCAGCCGGCCCCGCCGCGCCCCCGCCATGACGGTGAGTCTGGAACGGGGCCCCGCGGCGCTCTGCTTCCTCCCCCTGGGCTGTTCCCGCTCCGGGGGGATCTCCCGCTGGGGTGTGGGCGGCACTGAGGCGGTGCGGGACCGGGGCTGCCTGGGCTCCCGGTCGGGGGTGGGGTGCGGTGGAGGTGACGGGCCGGCCCTCGGCCTTCCCCGTGTGGAGGGGCGGTGAGGGGTTCGGCGTTGTGCTTTGGCTTTGGGGGCCTTTCCTAGGCGAGCCAGGTCTCTTTGGGGGAAGAAGTGGGCTTTTGGGGCCGCCGGGAACCCCTTTGTGATGGAGGGAAGGCGGCCCGGGGTGAGGTCACCCTGCAGCAGGTGACCTCCAGAGGTCCCTTCCACCGCCGCTGTCCCGTAGAGCGAAGTGTTGCTCTGTAGCCCGAGAAGCCGTAGGAACCGCGGCCTGGAGCTCTAGCTCTGTTGCTTTCTATCCTCTGTTTCTTCCCCCTGCCCTCTGTACCACCCAGGAGTCATTCTTCCACTCCCACCCTATCTCCTTTCCTTCTTTGGTGTTTACATTCTTAAGATACTTGCAGGCTGTTATCGCAGCCCTTGTGTCCTCGTGGCAGCCCGAACAGGCAGCCAGCTCCCTGCACCAGCCATCACCCCTGCTCAGTGCTGGATCCCCCCGGTGCCTCCTCTTGCATCCTCACATCTTCGTTGTTTGGAGCCAGCCCCAGATATCCGGATAGCTCTGCTTTCCTGCCCGTTTCCTCCTCCTGCCCTGGCCTTTTCCTCTGACGGGGGATTCAGCTCAAACCTCGCTCTGTTCTCTGCCCATATCCCAAGTGTTTCTCTCCAGAGTACAAAGCTGAAATTAGTGGTAGACAGGGAAGAGAAAAAAGCAGCTTTAAGCACTTTGTGGACTGGTGTCTTGTCCACCAGAAATACTGTGGACAGTGGCAGAGCTGTGCCTACGAGGATGAAGACAGGGAAAAAGAGGCTGGTTGTGTCTTGCATCATTTGTGCGCTTTGGGGACTTCACTGGCCCTGGTGCTGTGCCCATGACAGTAATAGGGCAGTGTGTCTGGCCCTCCTGCCCCACGCACATGTGTGCTGGGAGAGAAGGTCACGCCAAACATTTCACCTCCTTTCCTTCCCTCCTGCCGCTCCCAGCCTGGAGTCAGTGCTGAAGTCACTGGATTGGAAAGGATAACGGCACAAAGGGTGGAGCTGTCGCCACAGGGAAGAAATTAATTTTCAAAGAACTTTTGCAGGGCTGTGGGGATGTCCGGGTCTAGGGGAGTGGACGAGGGGATGCACGTGGTCCCCAGCCATTCACCGCCTCTGCTCTTCGTGCCTACTTTACAAAGCTGAGTGGTGGGCTGAGTTATTTGCCAGCTCGGGAGGAGCTGGAGCAGCAGAGCTGGGAGGAGGAGCAGCTCCAGCCTGCTTGGCTGAGGGCGAAGTTGGGGAGAGCATTTGCCCTGAGTCAGCTTTCCAGCACGGCACTTCTGGAAGGAGCTGAACTGGTTGGGATGCCGGACAAGTGGCGTGAGGTTAGGAGGAGGTGAATGGGGGGGGGGGAGCTTTTTAGAAGGGAGTGAGCTGGAGGAAACCCTGCTTGTTCTCCATAACCATGGCCCAGGGCTGGGCAGAGGGTGGGCTCTAGAAGGAGCAAAGTCCCCAGCATCTCAGACAGGATTTGTTCTCCAGCTCTGGTTGTAATTCCAATTTGATCTCCAGCCTCAGGCAAAGCGTTGACACGCTGTGTGTTTTCACAGCTGTTAAATTGCCTCCTGCGCCTTTGTGGTGAGGGCTGGTTCATAGTGAGCTGCTATAAGGCTGTAATAAGTGAGCAGTGGGGAAGGTGCTGTGGGAGGTGCCCCTGGGGCATGGATGCCCAGGTTGGAACGAAATGTGCCTGCTTCCCTGTGTCCTTCTCCAAAGCCTGGCCTGGCTTGTGACAGAGCCGTGTTCCCTTCCACACAGTTTCCTCACCCCTATCTCTCTCTCCTATCTCTGAATAAATATCTCCAAGGCACCTTGTAGAAACCTCCCTGCTGCATATTTTTCCTTTTTTTTTTTTTTTTTTTTTTTTTTTTTTCTTTACTCTTTCCTTATCTCTTGTTTCCTCTTACAGGAATGATTGCTAAATGCAGTCCTCCTCCACCACTGGGTCCTAAACTAAACCCCCACGTGTTTCCTCAAAGCAGTGTGGGGCTCTTCTTGTTTCTTATTCCCCCTATGGGAACTCTGCTTCCCGCTCCCCCAGCATGCAGAAACCTTTTGTGGGTTCCAGCACGCACTAAACTTCTGCTTTGTCCTTTCCTCTCCAGCCAGATCTCCTCAATTTCAAGAAGGGATGGATGTCCATCCTGGACAAGCCAGGAGAGGTAAGCCCTACCTGGAGCCTACTTCTTGCCCTAGCCCTATTGGTCAAGTTCCTTGTGTGAGCAGTGGTTTTTCCCTTCCCCTCTCGTTGTGCTTGCTCCTGCTGCAGGTAACTCGTGCTTGAGAGACCCAGCATTGTATTGGGTGCATTCTGAGCTGAGAATTATTATGGGCACTTGGAAGGGACCTAGAAAAGGGGGGCAGAGCCTAGAAACGGAGAGGTCATAGGGTAGCACATCCCTCCTTGTTCCTGCACTTCCCTCAGTAACTGTCTATCCATTTCCCTCCTGTCTTTTCCCCTCCCTCCCCATAACCCATCTGCTGGCAGTGGAAGAAACACTGGTTCGTGCTGACCGACTCGAGCCTGAGATATTACCGGGACTCGAACGCCGAGGAGGTAAGCATGGGTGGCGTCTCCTCACCCCTCTGTTCTTTCCTGCCCTTGTCCTCGTAGTGACAGGGAGAGTAACATTATCACTAGCACATGCACCTCATATCTTCACAAGGGAATGTGTCCCATTCCGGTGAAGCTCTAACATCTCCTTGAGACTTTGTTCTGACCCATCATTCTCCATCTGAAGAGCCCCTCGGGGCTGTCATGGTTTGAAGTGAAGAGAAAGGCTGACATGGGGGCAGCTGGGCTGCCCTGCTGCTCTGCCACTCTTCTTCTTCCCATGCTTTGGTTAGGGTGCAGGCAGGTGGCAGGGTCTTTTTAAGAGATGGGCTTTGCTTACACCCTAGAGGGTGGCTGTGCTTTCAGGCTGATGACCTTGATGGTGAAATCGATCTCCGCTCCTGCACAGATGTGACAGAATTTGCGGTGCAGCGCAACTATGGCTTCCAGATACACGTAAGTGCCTGGAGTGCAGAACTGAGGAATGCCTGGTGGGATGGCTGCTCCTTCCCCATCTGCATCCCTGACACAGAAATTTGGGCAGTGTAAACTTCATGGTGTCAGGATGGCAGGGGTAGTTGGTGGTGTGTCCAGCACTCAAAGGGTTAGAGTGCAGCCAGCTGCCCCTTTGCTGAGTGGTGACAGAGCCCGTGTCCTGTCTCTGCTGCAGACGAAGGATGCCATCTTCACACTGTCAGCCATGACCTCAGGCATCCGGCGCAACTGGATTGAGGCTCTGAAGAAGAACGTGCGCCCTGTTAGTGCTCCAGATGTCACCAAGTAAGAGCTGCCTGCTGGTGGGTCTCCTGCTTGTTCCTTTCTTCAGGAGGACACCTGAAAGGTCCTTGGGAGGGGTGGAGCAGGGCAGTGATGATGAGAGTGACGGGCATGCAGAGGTGATGCTTTCTGGGGGCACAGCGTCTTGGTAGGCTCCTGTCTACCAGGAAGATATTGTATTGAGCAGAATCGTAGCATCTGTTCAATTTGGAAAAGACCACTAAGGTCATATAGTCCAACTACTGACCTATCACCAGTAAACAGTTTCCCTCAGTACTGCATCTACCTTTTTCTGGAAAACCAGCGGTTCCTCGCACTGCCCGCAGAAGCCTGCCCCAAAACCCATTTTTTTATCTCCATTTTGCTGCTGGAGCTTGGCTGAGACTCAGGGTGAATCCTCCCCACCTCCTGGGGAAAGCCTGTTTACCCATACATGCAGACAGAGCTGCCAAGTGATGTGATGCAACCACTCTTCTCTCACACAAGGTTTTTCACAAGGCTGAGTTGAGCAAAAGCTGAGCCTTGCGTTTAACCAGCAATGCAAGGGGGCTGTTTGTCTGTTCTTTTGCAGTGCCTGTCCTTCACATGTTATTGCTGTGGTTTCAGGCTATCTGACTGCAACAAGGAAAACACAGTCCGTAACTGCATCCCACCAAAAAGCTCACTGCGAGTGGACGAGCAGCAGCAGCCAAGTTCTGAGGGAAGCACCAAAGGCAGCACTTGGAAAGCCGATGGGCCACGCCATGCCTTTGACTACGTAGAACTGTCCCCCTTGCAGCAGGATCCCCAAAATCAGGGGTCCCCACCGAGGACAAGAGGGAGTTTAAGGGTGTCAGAGCGAGTGTCCAAGCATGAGGATCTAGAGCGGGATTTGGCAGTGCGTTCAGAGGAGAGGCGCAAGTGGTTTGAGAGTCCTGACGGCAGGGTCTCCAACAGTGATGGCCCAGGGGGAAACTTGTCCCGCAAGGTGGAGGAGCCAGACTTGCCTGCTGCCCCACTTTCAGAGGAGCAGCGAGTTCGGCTGAACGAGGAGATAGAGAAGAAGTGGCTGGAGCTGGAGCGCTTGCCCTTGAAGGACTCACGGCGAGTGCCCTTGACAACACTGCTGAACCAGGGCAAGGGGAACCACGGAGATGCCAATGAGGCACTGAAAAAGGAGGTGAGAGCACTTTGGAAGATGGTTTTCTGGGGGGCGTGATCCATGCAGCTTTGTGCCTCCCTGGTGGCTCTGCGGAAGAGCAAGGCCACCAGAGTTGGTGGCATCGCTTGCGTGGATCTATGTTTCCTGGCAGCGTGTTTGCTGTCTCCTGTCTTGAACTGTTCCCAAGTCAACAAACACATCACCTCCCAGCCCTGGGAAAGAGGTTGAGCATCTCTCTTCTGTCCCTGGCACAGGTCCAGTCGCTGCGGGCGCAGTTGGAGTCCTGCCGGGCCCGAAACGAGAGCCTTCGGGAAGCTGCCAAGTCCCAGGGAGATGGCCACGTGCCCCGGGGCTACATCTCTCAGGTGAGCAGGATGGGTGAGCCCCAGGCTGGGAAATGCCAGAGCCTGGACTCATTGCCAAGCAGGTATCGCTAATCATTGGGTTGCCATGGTGGCCACAAATAGGCTCGGTTGTGATCAATGTTAATTACATAAAGGCTGGAGTGCGTATTAAAGAGGCTGGAGTTGGCAGGAGGCAGTGGCGCGCACATGCTGTCAGGAATTCAGGATCTGTCACAGTTGAGGGAAGGGAATTTGGGTTCCTGGTGAGCTCCTCTTGCAATGGACTGGCTGCACCCAGCCCAAATAAAAGCACAAATCACATGGAGCAGTTCACTGCAATCTCAGTTTGCACTTAGAGCTCACGGGTCTCCATGTGGTCAAAAGAAAACAAAAAGGAGCAGGGAGAAACAGCATCTTTTCTTCCTGAGGCTCACCTTTCCCAAAAGGTCTCATTTTCTCTCAATTTACCTTAGTACCATTTGAAAGAGGGGGAGAACAAGTTGGTGAATTCAGTGGCTTCTCAAGAATAATGTTTTGGCCTGATTTGATGGCAGGCAAATCTTCCCCAAGGGCCTTGGGGCATGAGTCCAAGATGGGAATGTCTTGCTTTGCTGTAACACAACTTATCTACAGCACTAGGCATTGAAAGGGCCAGCCACCAGCAAAAGTATGAGCTGTGCAAGAAGTTCGCTAGCAGTCAGGCTATAGGGAGGGAGGTGTCTGTAACAGCGCCCAGCCAAGGGGAAGGTGTCACTTTTCTGAAGCAGAGGCTCAGTTTCCATCGATTCTGGGGATGCTGCTTTATTTAAAAGGCAAATAGTGGATGCGGTTCCAGCAGTACATCCTGGTAGAAGGGTCTTGGCATCTCTTGATGGCTGAGTTGTAATAGAAGAGGAATGTTTTTTCCTCTCCAGAGCACGCAAGGCTCACAAGATTTGTGAGCTGAATGCTTGTGTTTCATGATCAAAGTACCAGGAGAAAAAAACGTCACAGAAAGGGGTCTCACTTGTCTCCAAATGGCCCCGGACTAGGGAGGGGTTTGCAAAGTCAAGCATCATCCCAACAAGGTGCCTGTCCTCCTGTCCACATGTCTTAGAGTCAAAGAATCACGGAGTATCCTGAGTTCAAAGGAACCCACAAGGACCATTGAATCTAACTCCTGGCTCCACGAAGGACTACCCAAAATTCAAACCTTGAGAGCTTCCTGAACTCTGTCAGTGTAGTGCCATGACCACAGCCCTGTCCCAGTGCCCAATGACCCTCTCAGTGAAGAACCTTTTTCTAACCTCAACCTGAACCTTGCCCTAATATCCCACCTGACTGTCCCAAGTCAGCTCCGTGTTGTAATGTGTCTGCCACTTTCACATCCCTCACCCTTCCCTCTACTGTCCTTTCCCCTGCGTGACAGGAGGCCTGTGAGCGCAGCCTGGCTGAGATGGAGTCGTCACACCAGCAGGTGATGGAGGAGCTGCAGAGGCACCACCAGCGAGAAATGGAGCGGCTGCGGCAGGAGAAGGAGCGGCTCCTTGCAGAGGAGGCTGCAGCAACGGCGGCAGGTAGGAGCAGGAAGCAAGTCATGTCCCCACTTCCTTCCACCTCTCCCAAATGTCTCTGACTTCTGCCAGAAACATGCCACCTTCCTGTACCAAAAGTCTTGTAACTTGAGTCCCACTTCTGAGCCTGCTGTTTGGTCTTAGAGGAAGCTTGGCTTTTCTCCCACCTGTGCTGCAAAGTCTGGTCATGCTGGGATGCCATTTATTAATCTCCTTAGCAGCACTCGGTGCTTTGGGATAATCCTGGGAGGTGGGAGTTGGTCAGAGGGCAAAAGGTAAAGGAGGAGGAAGTGTAGAGTGCACATCTTTGAGCCTGAGGCACCAAGAGCTGGCTCAGTTGCGTGGCTGGGTTTCTCCAGATGTGCCCAAGCTGGCATAGCCTGATCCTGTGTCTCCCATTGCATCTCTCTGCAGCCATTGAAGCACTGAAGAAGGCCCACCGGGAGGAGATGAACAAGGAGCTGGGCAGGACACGAAGCTTTCAGCAGTGTGGCTCTGTCACAGATGCCCTCCAGAAGCAGCACCAGTAAGAAGTCTCTCCTGCTTCCCTTGCTCAGTGCTTTGGGCAGAGCCTGTTGACGGCACAGGAGCCACAACCTTGTGCCTCTCTGACAGGTTGGATGTAGACTCACTGAAGCGGGAGCTGCAGGTGCTGTCAGAGCAGTACTCCCAGAAGTGCCTGGAAATTGGGCAGCTAACAGAGAAGGCAGAGGAGCGGGAACAGATGTTGCAGCGCTGCCAACAAGAGGGGAAGCAGCTCCTCCGGAAGAACCAGGCAAGAGAAGGGTTTCCCTGCCCTTAGGGACCACAGAGCATCCTCATTCTGGGACTGCCCCTGTCTAAATGGGGTGTCTCTTTATTCATATTCTTCTCCTCTCAATATGTTACTGGGGCCAGGACTGCAAGAGAGCCTTGTGGCTGTGCCATATCTGCCTTTTTGCCTGCAGGAGCTGCAGATCCGCCTGTCGGATGAGATTGGGAAGCTGCGAAGCTTCATCACCTCGCGGTGCTCTGGGGACCGATCTCCACAAAACAATGAGCGCAACTCCTGCGAGCTGGAGGTATGGGGTGCTTAGGATGTCCCCAGCAGTTTGGGCTCGGAGTAGAGGGGACTGGGAGCCACGCAAGGCTGCAGGGCTGTGCAGGAAGGAGGTGCGCAAGCTTCCCCTGCGTGTTTCTCCCGGGGCACCATGCATCACTTCCCGCTTCCTTCCTCCTCCACCACCGCACTTGCGCTAGGGAGGACGGCCTCTACCCAGGCTGTGTCTCTCTGCTTCCCCCTGCCTTGAGTCACCGCCTGCTCCTCTCCCCTGAGCCAGGTGCTGCTGCGTGTGAAGGAGAATGAGCTCCAGTACCTGAAGAAGGAGGTACAGTGCCTCCGGGAGGAGCTGCAGATGATGCAAAAGGTTGGTGCTTCCCTGGGTCTGCTGGCTGGGGCTGGGTATTGCATCTCTCTCTTACAGCAAAGCAGAGGGACTAGGAGGCTGCATAGTGGCTGCAGGTTTCAGACAGGGTCATTTGGATGCTCAGGTCAAACCCTTGTGTCATGTGTGCTCCTTGTCCCTGCTTTCTTGCTGAGCGACACTGCCTCATTGCAATATTCCATTACTTGAAGTGTGGCTACAGGGAGGGTGGAGCTCTGTCTTCATGAGGAGCCCCATGGAGAAGACAAGCAGCAGTGGGTGTAAGCCCTACCAAGAGAAGTTTCATCTTGATATATAGTTTGTTTTGTTTTAACATTGAGAGCAGTGATTCATTGGAACAACCTCCTCAAGGACATGGTGGTATCCCCACCACTGGAGGTTTCCAAGAGGCAGTTGGACAGAGTTCTCAATAAGCTCACTTAGGTTTCCTTATCCCACAAAATATTGAACCAGCTGATCTTTCAAGGTCCCTTCAGACCTGGGTTGTTGTATGGTTCTGTGAAATCGTTGCCCACTTTGGGCTGAGGTTCAGGCTTTGGGCTGTGTCCTCCCTCACCCACTGGCCTCACCTTGACACTTGAATACCAGCTTTGAGAGTTGCTAACTCTTCTCCCTGTCTGGCAGGACAAGAGATTTGCCTCAGGGAAATACCAGGACGTCTATGCAGAGCTGAATCATATTAAGGTGCGCTCAGAGCGAGAGATTGAGCAGCTGAAGGAGCATCTGCGCCTGGCCATGGCAGCCCTGCAGGAGAAGGAAACACTGTGCAACAGCATCAGCAATTAACGGTGAGCGCTGAGGGGCTGTTATGTTCCCTCCAGGCTTGGGGGACTGAGATTCACTTTACTTTTGGCAGAGACAAGGCAGCTTCTTCCTGCTCCATTTGGTGGTCAGTGTGGCTATGGCTTGACCCAGCCGTCTTCCTCCAAGCACTTGCATAGGCAAGCATAAGGATGGAGCAGTGTGAAGCCATCATGCATGTTCTGGTGTCCAGAGCAAACCTTCTACTTGCTTGAACACTGTGGCCATCAGGCTTGGAGTCACTCTGTTCTGCCAACACTTGCTGGTGGGCACTGACCAGTCTTGAGATGTGTGGGATCAGAGCAGGCATGCCAAGCGTGTCAGAACCTCCTAGAATGGAGGCAGAAAGGACAGCGTTTCTGTGCTGAGTGCGATCTTTCCAAACCTGTTTTATTTTTCTCCTTCTCTTTCTAGGTCTACTTCATTTGTTTATCTGTTCTTGTTTTTTATTTGCTCCGTTCCTCACTTAAGGAGAGAGGGAGGTTGGATCTCATCCTTGGCGAGACATCTCTCTCCTCAGCCAGCTCCTCACTTCCCTCCCAAAGCTTTCGATGAAGCCTTTCCAAAACCTTTTTGCCTTTGTATCTGAGCACGTTATTTGGAATGGCTCCTTACATGCACCTTCTTCAGGATTTTATACGTGAAAATTATATTTTATAGAAGAATTTTGTTTTCCCTTGAGAAAAAGAGGAAAAGGAGAGGGAAAGCTTCTACATCACCAGCATTTTCTAACCAGAGAAAGAGAATATACTCCCCACTTCCTCAGCCCTCCCTGCTCCCAGCCACGTATCTGCCTTTGGCACTCCCATTCCCTCTCTTCCACCTGTCTCTGGGGCCCCATGGGGATGTATGGGGACACGTAACAACACCACTGCCCCAGCACCCAGTGGAGGAGACACCCAAGCCATAGGAGGAGGCCGCCTGCCGCAGCTGCACCCACCTGCAACTTTGAAAGAGGAGACCTTGGCACGAGGCTGCACGATGGAGCTCTCAGTGACTGTCCTTCAGCTCTGCCTTGGCACAGCCTCAGCGCCAGGAGCCTCCCCACTCACCCTCCCTCGGGCTGGGGAGAGCCCGACATGTTAGTGGCAGAGGAGCTGCTGTTCTGCCACACCCTTCAACTCTTAACTTAATAAAATCTTCCCCTTTTGCTGAGAAAAATGTGTTTGCTGAGGGCAAGTCTTGCTACGGTGCTGAGGGCAATTTCTGCAGCTTCCTGCCTCACTGTGAAGCCAGCAGCTCTTTTGTGACCACCAGGAGCAAGGGGGGAGATCTCGGGGAAGATGAAAGGAACGGCAAACGTTTTTCCCCCCTCCTGTTTTGGGGTAAAAAACACGCTTTGCTCTTTCTAAAGGGAGCTTAAAGGAGAGCACTCAGAAAAGGCTTCTGGCTCCTTTCCCTGGGCGAAGCCAGCACAAAATCCAGTAAATCCAGTTGCAGGCTTGCATCAAGCCTGAACCACCACCTTGAAGATGGGATGAGCCCTGGGCGTGCCATCAGCCAGAGATGGAACAGCAAAGCTCCCAGGCTGGGGGTGGCAGCTGTGAAGTTGGGAAGTTGCGGGGTCCATGATTGCAGGAGAAAAAGTGAAGTTTAGGGCATGGTGTTGTACACATGTTTTTAGGGGAAAAAGAAAACACACTTTTGCATCACCAGTGGCTTAATTAAGGTTGTGGGGTTGCATCTATCACTGGGGGTTGCAACCCCTGGGAGTAGCCAGCCAGTCCCTTCCTCAGGTGCTCCCTATATTTGTTTGGGTTTGGTGTTTTTTGTTTTTTCCTGACTGGGGACTGCTGTTCCTGATAAAGGCTTTGCACCAGCATGCTGGAACGTGTGGCTGCTGCCAATCAGCCCCTTCCCCAGTGCCGCATGTGACAGGGTGATACTGGCCCCACGGCTGCCCCATAGCGATATCGCCTGGCCCCAGTGCCATGGGCGTGAGAGGAGGCAGCCAAAATGTCTGCCTATTTTGAGTCTCTTCGCGAAGTAAAAGCGGGTTAAATGAAATTTTGCCGTGATGAATTTGCTGGCTTTCCGTGATGGGCTGCAGCACATCCACAGCGTGTGTGCTTTGACCATTTAAGATGAAGTCCTGAGGTGGACGTGCAGGAATGCTAAAGGTTTTGTTGGGATGATGCGTGGGGAGAAAGGAGGAGGAGGAGGATGAAGTCATTGAGATTAGTGGGAGATTGCTGTGCCAGGATCCTTCCTCTGATGTTTGTTGCAGGGAGACGTTTCCCAATCTCCGAAGCTTGTTTAATGCCAGAAACACGCAGCATGAATGTCTGCAGCATTTCCATCACACCTCCAGCCCCAGAGCCCCTCTTTTATGTTAGGGACACACCAGTGCAAAGTGACAGGGATGTTCTGCACCACCAAGGGTGACACAAGGACATTGGTCAGGATTCACGCATGGGAGACCATATTTTAACTTGCTAAAAATTAGAGACCGGGTCTCGATGAAGGGGTCCCCCAAGTACTGGGGAGAGGCTGCAGGAGGTGCCCAGGTGATGGGCTCAGATAAGACACTCAATTTTCAGCTGCCTCTAGCAAGGTGAAGCCTGGGTACTGCACTGCCCTGATAAACATTGCCACTATTTTTTGGAGGCTCTGCAGTGAGCTGGTGGGAAAGGAGCAAGGTTTAGAGATGCTCCTTGCCCCCCCCTTCTGTTCTCCCTCTTTGGCGGGTGAGCCCGCGCACTGCTGGCAGTTAAAAGCTTGGATGCAAGTAAAGCCAGATGGAATCTTATCTGCCTGCACCCGAGTGCCTACGTGCAGACAGCCAGCAACGGCACTGCATTTCCCGCGCAGCAAACTCAGGGCCTATCACCCGGTCAAGGTGTCACACAGAGGCCATGGTTCCCTACAGCATCGCCTTCTCCTTTCCTCATGTCTCTGTGGTGGCACAAAAGCATCTGGTGATACTGGTGTTGCAGAGGGTTGATCAGCCCATATTGGATGTGCTGAGATATTAGAAACTGCCTTGTTTCACCCCTGGTGCCACATATCCATGGAGGGGCACGAATGTATTTTAAGACAGAAGGAGGAAAATATGATGTAAATGCTTCAGGAAGACGATGGTCACAGCCATGTTTAATCTCCCGGGGACAGCTGGGTGCTTACTCAGCTGGGAGGTAGTGGCTGATGAGAGTTCATGTCCCAAAGCCTCTGATGGGGAGCAAATTGGACAGAGCGGGAGTGGAGACAGACTTATTGGACCCTGGGGTACAGCTGCCAAACCAATTTTTGAGCCTTTTTGCAGGGAAAAAGTGCACCACCAACCCTCCCATAGGTCACCACCCTGGTAGCCAGGAGCCACCACAAACCCCAGGGTGACACCATAGCTGCTCAGGGAAGACAGAAAGGAGACCCCCAGCGTCTTTCCAATGTCCCCCCCACTCATTATCCCCTACATTCCTCCCCATATCCTCCTTGTCTCCATCCAGTGTTCCCTAACACCCTTCTAAGTGTCATTGCCATGTCACCTTGTTCATTCCCTGTCCCCAACACGAGCTCCTCCTTGCCCTGCACGTTACCTCCTTGTCTCCTGATCCCCCTCCCAGCACCCATTCTTGTCCTATCCAGTGTTAGTCCAAAGTACCCCTTCTTTTCCCCATCACATCTCTCCCTGTCCCCTGTTGTCCAACTCAGTGTCACCCTTGTCCCCACCATGTCCCTCCTTATCCTCTGGTGTCCACCCCATCCCCATCATGTCCCACCTTATCCCCCTTATCCAGCCTCAATGCCCATCCCATTCCCACAGTGTCTCACCCTATCCCCACCATATCCCTCTCCATCCCTTCATGTCCAACCCCAGCGTCCACCTCTTTCCCCATCACATCCCTTCTTGTCCCAACCTTGTCCCTCCCTGCCTGCCCCAGTCGTGTCGCTGCGGGGCGGGGCAGAGGGGACATGGGGACAGCAGTCCTCCCCACGGTCCGTGCCGCACCCTTAAATGTGCGGTGCTGGCATGCGCGCCCACAGACGCAGCGGCGGCGGCAGCAGGAGCAGCCCCACATCCGTTGTTGCCAGCGGCTCCTTTCTGAGCTCCCTAACCCTACCGTGGGGTGAAGCGCCGGCCATGACGGAGAGCCTGGTCCTATCCCCAGCCCCAGCCAAACCCAAGCGGGCGAAGGCGTCGCGGCGCTCGGCGTCGCACCCCACCTACTCGGAGATGATCGCGGCGGCCATCCGTGCGGAAAAGAGCCGCGGCGGCTCCTCGCGGCAGTCCATCCAGAAGTACGTGAAGAGCCACTACAAGGTGGGCCAGAACGCCGACCTGCAGATCAAGCTCTCCATCCGGCGTCTCCTGGCTGCTGGCGTCCTCAAGCAGACCAAAGGGGTCGGGGCCTCTGGTTCCTTCCGCTTGGCCAAGAGCGACAAGGCCAAGAGATCCCCAAGGAAGAAGAAGAAGGCCGGCAGGAGGTCCACGTCTCCCAAGAAGGCGGCGAGACCCAGGAAGGCCAGATCACCGGCCAAGAAGCCCAAAGCCACCGTCAGGAAGGCCAGGAAGAAGTCGCGGAGCCCCAAGAAGGCCAGGAAGCCAAAGACTGTTAAGGCCAAGTCGCGGAAGACCTCCAAGACCAAGAAGGTGAAGCGGTCGAAACCCAGAGCCAAGTCTGGTGCCCGGAAATCGCCCAAGAAGAAGTGAGCAGCCTGGGGGCTTCACCCAGGCTCTCCCCATTGGTTTCTGTAAATAGCTTTTGCCTTTATTTTTACCTCTTTCTGTTTGCAAATTTTATAAGTTGATCTATTCCTAACAGCTAAAACAAGGCAAAGAATGAAAGGGAAAAAAAAAAAAAAAGAAAAAAAAAAAAAGGAACTTCTTCCATATGGAAGAGTTCCCATTTATACAAGCTGCTTCTCTGAGTGTTTATTTCATCTTGCCGCGGGTCTGGAGGGCTGTGGTGGGCGGGTGGAGGACTTGGGGGGAGGTAGGAGGGCTGTGAGAGCCAGGAGGAGGAGAGGGGACTCCTCCTTGTCCCCTGGAGGGAGGCACAGCCCGCCAGCCCAGCGTGTGAGGGCTGGAGATAACAGTGCGGCCGGGAGGTGGTGCGGGCCTTTGGGGTGGGGCTGGACGCTGCTGCCACCAAGGGCTTGGCACAGCCCCAAGGCCACACAGGCACCACAACGTCCCAACCCAGAGGGCTGGCTGTGAGCCCATGGGATGGGACGGCCCTACTGCTCCGCTCCGAGTCCTTGGACATCACTCCTAGGTACGCTGTGCCTAAATCCCCAGGGCTCAGGGTCTTCACCTTCCTGGCTCTTCCTTCCATTCCATTGGTCTGATGTTTCTAAATGACTCAGGTAGATGCTGCCCAAACCTCTGAGGATCCCAGTACAGAACCCTGTAGTGAAATCCTTGGCCTGGAGGAATGTAATCCCTTTAGGTTCTTGCTCCTAAGATCCTTGGACCAAAGGCTCTCAGACTGAAGAGCCCAAGGCCCTCTCAAGAGCCAGGTGCTTGGCCTTCTGGACATCAGGGTCCTCAAACATTCTGCCCATAGGACCTCTAGCCAGCTACAGTGGAGTGTAGAGGAGCCCAATCCAGTTGGGATCCTGGTGTCTAAACACACTAGGTCACAAATCCCTTTGACCAAAAGACACTGGGATTCCTCAAACTTGGATATGTCTGGCAAGTCCTAAACCTCTCAGACCAAAGTTTTCAGTCACCTCAGGTAGCTACACACAAACCCATTGGGCTAAATCCTACAGGCTGTAGGATTTCATTGACCCTTGTGCCAAGCATCCACTTGGATACAAGTCCTGGGATGAAGACCCCAATTCCCTTGGAAGGGCAACAATCTTCGGCTTCTTGAGCCTCAGTCCATTATATCCCTTTGTTTCCAAAACCCCTTTGGCTCTGGCACATAACCCCCCAGGCTGCTTGTTCCTAAATCCCTTCGGTTCCTAAAGCATGTGGAGTCTTCACCCAAATATGGACTTGATGGATTCCAATTCACCCTCGGGCCGGAGCCTCCCTCCATTTCATCCAAAGACCTCAACACCTCCCAAAGGAGGTTCCCCAGCCCTTTCAGCCACAGGCATCCAAAACTTCCTCCTCTCTAAGATCCAAACCCCAAGGCTAAGAAGCGACACCTCCCAAAGGATCCAGGTGTCCCCTGCAGGCTTCACCACAGAGCCTCTCGGCTGGGTCCTAG